GGGGGGGGGGGGGGGGGGGGGGGGGGGGGGGGGGGGGGGGGGGCAGTTTAGTAGCCGAGTCCTAAGAAAATGCAAAAGTATTCATCCAAGGCTGGACCAGATGTTCCTAGACATTGGGAATGGGACAGGGAACCCTCTTCCTAGTGAGCTGTTGCTTATGGTTCTCCAGTCAGGGGTGATTCTGTGATTTTTTTAAGGTGGGGGGCACAAGAGGGGCCATAATTCGTACAGCAGAGTCAGCGCTATTATTAGCCAATGATATGTTTTGAATTGGTGCGTGACGGGGCGGGCACACTTGGGGGACCAATCAGCTTTCAGCTGGGGCCAGTGCCCCACCCTTGTATATGGCCCTGCCCCCAGTCCACAGCTGTGCTCTGACCGGATGCAGACAGACCAAGAGCTTGAGGCCTAAGCGTCATCCCCAGGGCTGGTGGCTATGTCTGAGCCACAAGTCGTCCCTGCGAAACCTTGGTTTGACGGTTTCTTTCTTTGCTGCCACATTCAGAAATGCTCCCCCCCCCCATAATGGTGACGTGCCAGAGAGGATGAGGCCAACACCATGCAGGTGATGGAGATGAAGGGGGAATTCCTGTAGCCAGGACCTCCTCGGGTCGACCGTAAGCCCATCGCGTGTCGGCAAAGTCCCGCTGAGGTGTCGCTCTGGACACTGCGACAAGCACTTGCCACTAAACTCCGTTAGACATCTGGTTTAATATTCCTCCATTCTTCACTCCAGCCCATTCCAAGTTCATTGAGGTTTTTCTGGTCAGTCCAATTTTCCACTGGCAGCTTGCAAGGATATCCCAGGGTGGTTCCACTAGAATCCAGTCAGGGCTCTGGGCTGGTCTGTTCCAGGTTTTTTTTTTATATCCTCTGCGTTTTATGAACCACAGGTTTGTGTAGCGAGCAGGAGAACCTTCTCGGGCACCGGGATCATGGCCTGGTGTCTCCTGGAGGAGCTGCTACACCATGGTAGAGATGTTCAGTGGTAGGGAGGCGTCCTGAGGGCATCCTGGGATATCCATCCGGAGCTGGTGGAGCGGCTCGCAAACGGGAAGGCGCAGGTCGGAAATCCATCAGCCAACTCATCAGCGGTTGCGGTGTCAAGTGAATGAATGAACAGGAAGCTTGAGTATGATGCTGTTACATCTGCTCTCCCGTTGATAAACAAGCAAAGCATGATCTAAGAATCACTTATTTGACAGAGAACTACTACGTATATATTTTCACCCAGGGACATAAATACTGGTAACAATGTTTGGAGAATCACATCTGTGGGCTTGTGGGTTACCAGTGTCAAACCCCCAGCTTCATCGTTGGATCCCCTCGTTACAATCATAGGTCAAAAAGACCGTTTTATCTCAGAAATCAACCCATAGTGCAGTTCTGTAACACCACGTCTACGGAGCCTCTCTCTCACCTCCGAGGTTACCTCCATAGCGCCAGATGGTGGTGAGTCAGAGCCCATTAGATGTCAGGGAGAGGATTAGCAGCAGACGGTCATGCGGGGACAAGCCTTGGCAATGGCATCCAGCACTGACCGCAGCTGGCCAAGACGTCGGTAGCTAGGCGAAGAATATCCAGCAAGTATGACCAAAGGCCAGTCAAGATGTAATGCTCAGAACTGTGCCTTTTTTAGCGTGTATCCATCATTAGGTTAGGGGACATCGGTGCTCTGCTGCTTGCTCCATGGTAGGTCAGAACAGAAGAGGATTGTGCTGGACCCCCAAGAGCACCCAGTGAGAAACCTGAACTGACTGGTTGTGTCGTCCAGAAGAATTTCAGCAGAATGTTGCTATTGCAATCAGTCCCACACATGCCATTGTGTAACTGCATTTTTGTGTTCCTGGGTTTGTTTCAGAACATTTAGAAGAAAAAATTTAACATTCTTTCATTATCATTCATGGTGTCCTGATTATTGTGCAACAGTCCGATTAATTCAGCATTTTTGGTTGGGCTTTAATCATACGCTGCTAACACTGATGTCACGCTAAGCCCACATTTGAGTCTTGGTTTGAAGAAGCCATTGAGATGGCAGCAGATGCGGATAGCTTTGTGCAATGGAAACGTCCATGTAGCACGCTGATATGCTGAAAAATAATGCGATAAAGAAGCCAAAAAAACCCCTTAACAACAAGATGCAAGTGCGCTTGTAACCACGTCTACTACAGCCGATCCATGATCTGCCTGTCAAAGTGGACGCTCCAAATGTAACCTCATCATTGAACCAAGTTACGGGTTAAAACACTTAAAGACACAGACAATTGACACTAATATCTGTACAAGGGCGGAGGAGGCTCTGTTGTGTTCATATAAGGTTTATGCCTAAACGGCTCCTGTCACACCAGTCAGCTTCACACCAATCACTGGCCTGAGAAATTCCGGACCTCGACATTTGAAGTCGCAGAACCCCCACTCTGATGTGGCTGGCTTGAAAGGTGCTTGCGGAAGAAATTCAGCACTTTGGACAGCACCTGAAGGAGTCTGTTCCCCTGGTAAATATTCAGGCACAGTCAAATCACAGGCCTAGCCACAAAACAAAGTCTGACTTGAGCTGCCCACTCCGGATTTACCGAGGTATGTGGGGCCCATGTGGAATATTTGGGGAATGAGATGATGCGTGTTAGGCCCATTTCTTCCAGAACCACACTGGGTACACCTTCTTCCTCTCTAGCTCCACTGAGAAGCACCTTATGTCCTGATGTCAGCAGTTCTGAATACCGCCCAGGAATAGGGAATTTCTTGTAGCTACTCTACAATGGCATCTCAGGTGCATAACAGGTGGACCGGGGATCATAAGGCCCATAAGATCTCAGGATGGGGGCCATTCTTAGACAGCATGCCTGTTCAAACAGTGGGTGGTTCAGTGAGTAGCCCTGGTGCAGCAAAACTCTGGGGTTGGGGGTTCAAGTCCCGCCTCTGCTCCGTGTGGCTGTGCCGTCTGCATGCTCTCCCTGTGTTGTATGTGTATTCGCTGGCCAGTCCGTGTTTCTCCCACAGTCCATAAATATGTTAGGAATCTGATGTGAATTCACAGTGGGACAGAAAGTTTGATTTTAATTCTTTGGTTCTTAAGCAAACAGCAAATCATAAATTAACCAAAATTATGTATTAGTAAATTGGATTTCACGAATGCAAAGATGTCAGAAAGGATGCATCCCGAGTTCATCCAAAATTGCATCTGTTGCGCGCTTTTTGAATTGGGGGCAATCGCATCGTGAACTTTTATGCCGGTGTATCGATGCGAATCGGTGAATCCTACCGTCCCGAAAATGTATAAATGGGTGAAGTTAAATGTGACTTTCTGGGGTGTAAAGTGGTCTATATTGGCGTCAAGTTGTTGTAGTTCTCAGGTTCATCGCTTTTCAATGGCCATGTTTTTTCCACCCCCCAGGCAGCCGGGAGGCGGCGTTCACCTACGCCATCACCGCGGCGGGAGCCGCACACGCCGTCACGGCGGCCTGCAGCCAAGGCAACCTGAGCCACTGCGGCTGCGACCGCGAAAAGCAGGGCTACTACAACCAGGAGGAGGGCTGGAAGTGGGGGGGCTGCTCAGCGGACGTCAAGTACGGCATCGCCTTCTCCCGCTGGTTTGTGGACGCCCGCGAGATCAAGAAAAACGCCCGGAGGCTGATGAACCTTCATAACAACGAGGCTGGCAGGAAGGTAACCTATCAAAGCATCGGTGCACGACTTTCGCATTTCATCTGCACACATCTTTCAGGTACAGGAATGACCAGGCAAATAGCCACATAGGAAAATAAAGGGTTTGAGCTCCTCTAAAATTGTTCTTGTTACCGATCAACACCTGGTCATGACATCCTGGGTCTTATCATATGTTGCATGAATGTCCAAGGGAAGAAGCGCACTTGTGGTCACCTAGCTGGATGATGGAGAGTCCAGAGCAGGACCTTGTTCTCCATGTCCTATCCATTATCCAGTCCCTGTCAATAAAAAAAAACAGTCTAGGCAGGGAATCACTGAAGATATATGTGCAATTGAGGGATGGAAGGATGGAGATGAGGACCTGGGTGCTTGACGGAAGATTGGGAAGCATTCCTCGAGCTGGGGGGGGGGGGGGGGCGCACAGACATGAGCTATCCTGTCGAAGCCACAGCGACCGTCCAATCATGGGGACAGAGGCTTAGCCCACTGAGCCACACACCGCTCAATGAGGAACGAGCTAACAGGGCAGGGGGAGCAATGGAGCAGAGTTGTACTGGGATATGGTGCAGGCCAGATGGGGACAGTCTGGTTTTATTACTATATGTGAGACGCAGAGGAGCAGACCTGCGCTGGGGCTGAACTGCCCACTGTCCAAATTTAGCAACAGGCTGTATTTGTTTACAAAGTTAGGAGTGTCTGCCAGGAATCTGTGGACTTGGATTTAAACATTTCAGAAACAACTGCGCTTTTATATGAATCCCTTTCGATGGTTTTCAGCTATGTATAAAAACATAGACATAAACACAGAGTGAGCCACTCCTGCCATATGCCATGGAGGCAGGAGCTGAGGGTGCAGAGCGAACACTCTGCCGTCTAAGGAACGTCCCTTTGGCAAAGATCACTTTGAACTAACCTCCTACGACATGAATGATGTCCATCAGAAGCACGTCCTGATTTTGTCATGGTCGATGTGTCCCTGGCCCAATGAGGGAGGAGCTTGCATTTCAGTTGTTTGACCAATAACAGTTTTACCCTTAAACTGAAACTGCTGTAGGGCTCCAGTGCTGGCAGCCTTGTTTCTTGTGTCTTCTCTTGTCTGACGCATTTCATTGTAATTCTGACCCTGTGCTGACATACATATGACCAATAAATAAACCGATTTGAAGCTGATCTGATTTGCGTCTTCATCGTATGACATCACCGCATTCAGTAAAACCAGTGTCCCCGTTTTATTTGCGTATGCCGTTTGTTAAGGGACCTGTCACAGACACAGACAAAAGAAGAACATGCTTACCTGCAAAGGCAGTATGGAGCCGTGTAAGGGTGTGTCTGTATTTCATGAGGATAATAATAATAGTAACAAAATCGACAAGGCTTGAACCAGGACCCTTGCTCATAGGGTCACAGGGTTAGCTGGCTGAGACACACACTACCTTGAGTTTGAAAATGAGAAAAAAGCAGACCAAAGTGATGATGTCATACCCTGAAGACTGGTTAAAGAAGTGAAACGCAAGCCCATACCTTGTTGACCCAGGGAGACGTGGAAGTCGACATGGAGATATTGATGGATGTCAGGATATTATAAATCCAGGAATATCTGGCAGAGGAGAGAACAGTAACAGAGAGTGGCTGTGTATGGGGGAATTTAAGGCTTAAAATGAATTATTCGATTAGGTCACCACAGCAACCGTGACTAGTTCTGGCAATGCAAAACCTACTGGGGGTTGTAATGGAAGCATGCCCCATTTACCAAAGCCAGACCAAACCTCGCTTTCCAAATCCAGGCCAAAATCCACACCGTTCTTCCTGAATCTTGGGTCAGCGCTGGGGTGGAGTCTCCCCTTCAGTACTCAGGCTCTCCCAGGAAGGCTAAGAAGTGTGAACGCAGCTTCTGGTTCCCCCAACAAGAACTCCACAACACCCAGTGCCATTTTCGCCCCAGTGCTTTTTCCTGACCACCACAGCCGCAGTGATAGTGCTGTGACCCACCAGAAGTTTACGGCAGACAGGTCTGTGAACTTAAAGAAGATCCCAACAGAAGACATTGTAGAGGAATTCCATCAATATGGTTGCCAGCACTGAGTAACACTGAGCAATGTAACACTGACCCTCCCCCCTCCTAAGGTATCAAACACCCACCTGACATTCTCTTTCAGTAGCTTCTCCAAACTCCTTCCATGCACGAGCTTTCACCTCAGCTTCACCTTCAGTGCAGCCCTTCTAGCCTGTTGGTACCTTCTAGCTGTTTCAGGAGACCATCATGCAAGCTCTACCATGAAGGCCTCTTATAGGGGGAACCCTCTGATCTGCTGGGAAAGCCCCCAGCTGCACAGCCCTCAGACCTGGGACTTCCTAAGGTCTTTTCAGAATGAGGAATCCCAAAATAGTAGATACTCCACCCCTGATCAAGGGCCCACATCATGCATACTGGTTAAGCTAACACAACCCCCAACCTGGCTTTGCCAGTTGCATCCTAGTAACTATTTTGGACAAGGTACACTGGTTTTTCTGGGTACCTTTCATGGGGGGCTTTGTTGAGTGGTAGTTGGTCAGATTATTTCACCAAGAGAAGCTCTGTGGAGCTAGAGAAGAAGGATGTGAGCTTCAGAAAACATAACTCTGTGGATCACAAGCCCTTCCACCACGTTAACGTCATATTTCTCTGGGGCCTCATGTCCCGTACCAATAAAAAGGAGATTTTATAAACGGCAAACTTCACAAAAATACTCAGCTCTACCTTCTCGGGGTTACTTTAGTCTGGATGAAGTGTTTCATGAAAGTGAGTGGCATCTGGACGCCATTCCAGCCCAGTCTTGTCGAGAGGAATGCAGGCGGGACTGAAATCCACTCGTGTATTTCAGAAAGTGCAGATATGTGAGAAGCGAAACGGAACTTTACTGTAAGTGATCAAGGTTGCCTCCGGCGCAAGTACATTTACTGTAAAAATGAGTCAGAGATCCAATCAATAGCCCTACGATAGACTCAAAGGACCAATAAGAAATAGGGAGGTCACCGAATATCCATACCTCAACGAAGTACAGTCACATAGGAGTTTGGTTTATTGTCATCACTGCATAATTAAAAACATGCATTTAAAGAGCCAGTTGATACACATTTACCAGAGTATCACAAAAATAATTGCCCCACCACATTCTTCCACCATGCTTTCAGTCCCTAAACCCCATGCTCTGAATTAATCCTGTGACCTGCATTTGTTTTCGATATTTCTTTGTGCAATTTTTACCAGATGTCCTAAAACAGGAAACTGCTGGGTGGACACGACAGTGAACAGCATATGTGTTTGAAGAGCAGAAAACAGCACAGAGAAAAACCCTTAGAATTCATTCTTAAATGAGCTTCTTAACTAACTTCAAAAGACTTGCCTGTCTGAATGCAAGCGCTTCCATTTGTCTCGATGACGCTGAACTACTTGTTTTCCAAATGTTGATTTCTGTAGCGATGGAAGTTTCTGGACAACCCGCTTTTCTGTGTTCCTTTGCTGCATACGCAAACAGCCATCCGTCGGGTGGGTCTGCAGCTGGATCAGGGAACTGCAAGAAGAGCTGACCACCACACTTGTAACTTGACCATAACAGACTCTGGACATAGATACATGAGACACATAACTGTGCATGCTGACCATTGATCAGGAGGTAGATAACGTAGGGTGCAGTTGGATATTACCATTAAGTGGATTTTTCTGCTGGGATCTGGCTCAGAAGTGCCATCAATATGCTTCAAATGTACTATACATACATATTATATTTATTCCTACATTCCTCGCATTGCACTTTTGTTCACTTATCAACCACATATGTTCTTTGTATATCCATCAATCGGACTGTATGTGATAACTGTCTCGTCGAGACTGTATGTGATTGTCCTGCATGGGTGGCAGACCTGATCCATGGAGAGTCGCTCTGGCTGCGTGTTTCCTGAATGAGAGGTCATCCCAAAAACCCGAACCCCCAGCGGCTCTCCGTGGATCCGCCTCACCGCCCCTGTTCTACTGCATGTACGAGAGCCATTACCAACCGAACACAAATTCCCCGTGTATGTGAATCCTGATTCCAATTTTGGATCTTCAAAGCATGTTGAAATCCGTCCCATTAACCAGAGACTTCTTAAGCCTCGACAATATGACAATGAAATGGCCTTGAAGGTCCTTGAATTAAATCCTTGCCATCGTGTATTTGCATCAAGTTGCTGTCATGACTGTAGGTTTGAATGTTCACCCCCCTCCCCCCCCCCATTTCACATGGAATCCCATATACCAACAACACGCTGACAGTCTCTCAACATTGCAGAACAGACACCCACCCCCGCTCAGTTAATCCACACCCATGTTCTGAATGACTTCCAGACCTCCACATTAGAGTGATGGTGTCCATATGGCCAATTGGTTGCCCATTAATACCACCCATTTCTTTCCCTCCCCAGGTCCTAGAGGAGAGGATGAAACTGGAATGCAAATGCCATGGAGTCTCGGGATCCTGCACCACCAAGACCTGTTGGACCACGTTGCCCAAGTTCCGGGAGATTGGCTACATCCTGAAGGAGAAGTACAACGAGGCGGTGCATGTGGAGGTGGTGCGGGCCAGCCGTCTGCGGCAGCCCACCTTCCTGAAGGTCAAGAAGAGCCAGGGCTTCCGCAAGCCCACCGAGACCGACCTGGTCTACATCGACCGCTCGCCCAACTACTGCGAGGAGGACACCGCCACGGGCAGCGTGGGGACGCAGGGGCGCCTCTGCAACCGCACCTCGCCGCACACGGACGGCTGCGACCTCATGTGCTGCGGCCGCGGCTACAACACGCACCAGTACACTAAGGTGTGGCAGTGCAACTGCAAGTTCCAGTGGTGCTGCTTCGTCAAGTGCAACACCTGCAGCGAGCGAACGGAGGTGTTCACCTGCAAGTAGGGCCCGGTACGGAGGGCAGGAAGAAGCGAGATAAAGGCAGGGGGGGGCGCCAGAGGTCAGACCTGTGAAGTGCGACCGAGGGGAAGGAGGCGATATGGAGGGGAAAGGGAAGCCTGGATGCTGGAGACCTGGGGAAGGAAGAATCAAAAGGAGACAGCGGATCTAATGGGATGGAATTTACAATATCAACTCTTCATGGCATCGTTTTGCACATCAGACTTTGTTTTTGCTTTGGAAAAAAAGAGCTCAAGTATCAATAGGTAAAAGCCCACTTCATTACTGAAAAAGAATGATGTGTTCTTATGCACTGATGTCTCAAGACTGATAAAAATTGCGACAAAATAATGCCCCGGCGGGAACCATGCAGTGCGTTCTGGGATTTGTAGTCCTTGATGTTTCACAGTGAGATTGCGAAGGAACTCAGATTCCCAGAATACTGTGGAGTATGACAGTAGTTTTCCATAAAGCAAGGAGAAAGAGGCAGAGATTCTGTAGCATGGCAATTGATCAGTCTTCCTGTTTGAAAAGGAATGTTGGAGAGAAAAGGATAGAGAAAAGGTCAGTTGAGATGAAGAATGTTTGCATGGAGTCTATGGGCATGTGGAAGAGTTTGCCCGATTGGGCAGAGGTATCTCTGGCCTAGCCAATAGGAAAACAGAAAACTGGGAGCATGATAACTGTCCAGTCACACTGGAGCTGCTTGTTTGAACACTGAAAAATGAAAATGTCTATTTATGTAATAGTTATCTTTAAACGAAGCACTAACGGGTAGAAATGTCTTATTTTGTACTAAGTATAAAAAAACTTTAGTGACTGACTGAAGGTGCATATCTTTTGTAATTTACCCCCTTAGAAACAGTTTCATTGCTGCTGATGCCTTTTCTTTGGTGTCGTGTTCAATCAGTCAGAGGATTGCAGCAGAAGCATCTGCAGACCAACACAAAACATCCGTTAATTCTCGTCTCCACACTGCGTCCTTTTGCATTTTCAGTAAGTAGCAGGGAAGCTGTTTTTTCCTTTTTAGCCACCATCATCTTTCCTCGACCCCCATAGCATGAAGCGAGTGTGTCGCTGGATGCATCATACAGAGCTGCACTGAATCCTTCCTATTAAGGTATAACTTCGGTTCAAAGCTTAAATGAGTATTGCTCGAACATGAGTTTGGGATTAAACGCATCCGCTGGGTCCTTCCTTTTTCCTGCTGAGACGCTGAAATCCTTCCCGAAGTCGTTGCCCAGTTTCAGCGTTTCAGACGTCGTGGGTGGGCAGAGGGAGGGGGCTCCGGTCACGCCTGCACCTTGTCGGTTCCCAGCCCGGCGTAGTGCTGGGCGCGACTTTCATGCTCCATTCACAGCCCTAACCTGCCAAGTCAAATTCTCCGCTTAGAGCCAGTGGAATTTGGAAGACGTGACCAACATGCATGGGATAAGAAGGCTGATGTCATATTTTACCTAGAAACGTTACTCTTTAATAGAGTATCGCTAAGAGTAATATTAAGGTTTAATATTAAGTTGTTAAACACAGACACTAGAAATACTATGGATTTATATTTTTATAAGCAGTACTGGTTTCCGCACTTTACATTTATATTCAGAGAAAATAAAATCAGTCATTATTATCATTAGTATTATTTTTATTATTATTTTAAAGTGACTTTACTGTATGCTACCAGTTCAAAGAAATGTTTGTTTTTTAAGTACTGAAAATCACAGAGGAACCTGAACTATTGCCTGAAATGGAATATTAGTATGAATTTCAAAAGAAACAATGTTTACTTTGTAGATAAGCCACTTCTCCTGTCTTTCCCCCCCATCAAGTTCTCAGAATTAGAACATTTAAAAAAATTTTATTTCATAAGCTGGTTGTGTACAGAGAATAATATTCAGTCAACTGCGATATTTCTACAACGCTGCAATGTATAGTACTAAGTTAATAAATGAATAAATAAGTTATTAGTTTCTGGTTGGAATAAACCCTGCTAGTTACGAATACGAGTGTAAAAGTTAATTGACCACGCAAGTGAAATCTTCTTTGCCCTAGTGGCACATGACTTATAGCCACTGAAGGATTTAACAGCTCGTTAATTATAATAGCTACTGAAGGCATTAACGGCTCATTAATAATAATATGAATAATAAACATCTTCATCATCACCTCAGTCAGTCTGTAACTCCATTTCACATTTACTGGATTCCTCTACTCATTTTCCAGGGCTTGAAAATCAATTGTTTGGCTGCAGGTTGTACATGTTCACCCTATTTCTCTAACATGCTGAATATTAAAAACTGAAGAAACATATAAGGTACAGTACCAGTCAAAAGTCTGGATACTGAAAATCATTTGTTTTTCAACAAGATACAAACCCTGAACACACCTTGAGTTTATGTAAGTGCTGTATCATCCTGTGAATAAGCAAAGAGATGGAGTGCTGTGACAGATGACCAGGCCCCCACAGTCCCTCCACCTAAACCCTATAGAGCTGGTTTGGGATCAGTGGGGTTAAAGAGTAAGAGCAAGGTAGCCAACCTGTGCCCAGAACTTGTGGGAACTCCTTCAGGCCTATTGTAGAAGCATTTCAGCTGGCTACATCTGGAAGATGGCTGAGAGAAAGCCGAGAGTCTGCAATGCTGTCAAGGGGAATGAACACGTCTCTTGGTTGTTGCATTATTTGATATGTATTACTTCATTGCCTCAAGGCCTTTTCCCATAAGGTGAATTACATAGCTAAAACAAAGACAAATGCATTAAAAGCAGATATATCCAGACTTATACCTGGTACTGTACATATTTTTTATATGTATGTATTTAAACCCTTAATTTGAAATTATTCTTAAAGTATTATTCACCCCAGGATAGCTTGCTGAAGTAAAAAAATGTTTTTCATTCTATGGCATCTTATACTCTGCAATGACATTGTAATTCCTTGAAGTTTCATGCCTTTGAAAGCACAATTTTAGCATTCATGGAAATAAAGAAAAGGAAATAAAATTATATACGGCATATTTTTGCAAATAAACAAACCAACAACATGAAAGACTGGTTCATAGAGGTACAGTCCTGGGTTCAAGATTATGTTAGAAAGCGTCCCAGCATCTAGTTTGGGCTCAGCTGCAGTGGGATGAGCTGGTGGAACTGGCATCCTACACAACCTGTTGAATCCACATTTAAGTGCCATGTTCCATATCCTTAAATAGGTACATTTATTTTTTCAGGAGTGTTCGAGAGCTACTTACAGATGCCTCAGAAAAAGTGGACTTCTGAATATATCTTGAAGCAAAACTTCACAGAAGTCTAGAAAGCATTTAACTGTGCTGAAAAAAATATCTAATAGTGTTTTGTAACTGCTCACTTTTGAGAAAACAACGTTTTGTGACGTGGAAATCTCATCAGTGATGTTGCCGTTTAAAACAGCCACTGGTGCTTCCTGATTAAGTGAGGCGGCCCGAAGTTTTGTGAGGGATCTACTTCATGCAGCAGAAATGAGAGTCCACTTCATACTGTGAGGGTGCAGCATCATGGTCGGAATCACGCTGTATCATTGTCTGAATACGCTTCTGGTTTCTCAATAATAATACCATCTTCCTGCAGTGTATGATCCCTAAAAGCCAGCAAGGGCCAACTCTGGAAGCATCTGCACACATATCTGTGATTTTGGGGTCCTGGATCCAAAAGGGCTCCTGACTGCACTGACCCGCATCTCTAAGCCCATTAACTGATGGCTGAAGAATCAGAATGTTTATCCGGCTTTTCAATCTACAATACGAGTCAAACTCCCCAGTGAAGCCAAAAATCGACTCTTGCTTCACTAGAATTCCATGGTGTCTACAGTTGTAATACTTTATCAAATTCATAACAGTGCCCATGAATCCAATAAAAAATTCAGTAAATTATTACACATCTAAGACACCCCTCCACGCAAGCCTCAGGTGCACATACCATTGTGCAAAAAATTAATACATTATATCCAAATTAGAAATCAGAAATATATTATCTATCACATTCAAGTTTAAGGCTGCAAATCAATGAATTAAATATATAGAATACCAACAAAGAAGTTTGGTTTTGTAAGAAAATTCAGTATCAGTGCAGTAATAATATAGGTAATCAAGACTGGTACTAGCTTAATATGCTTGGAAGCGAGCCAATAGCCTCTTGGCTTAGAAATAGAAGCGGCTGATTGGTTTAAATGCTCGGTTTGACCCAAATTATTTATCACCGCTAATCACATGCATAAGGTGCATTTTGGAAAGCGGCAGTCCCCGAGCCGTGAATGGAAGGCCGGGCTGTTTTATTCGGCTGGTTTCCGCTTCCCGCTCGTGTTTCTGTATGTGAAAAGCATGCCAGCCAACCAGCAGAGCGGACATAAGGTGTGTTTTGTTAGACGTCTGAATCCCCTCTGGCTGGGACCTCATAAGCTCCTGCACTATACCCCGGATTGAGAAAAATAAATCCATGTGTTTCCGACAAACATTTTGTCATTAAAAATATGAGACAGAGAAACAGACTTGGCTGTGTGTGAGCCTTCATCCGATGCAGGCATTGTTGAGATGTCAGAGTCATTAGTTCAATGGAATATATTGTGTGGGCCAATTGTTCTGGTCTAATTCAGCCTGGGTGCACTGTGTCTGCTTTTTCAAATCAGACCCTGGGTGGGGGGCGCCGGGGAATGGAGGTTTCCGAGTAATAGAGCCATTGAGATGAAGAGTGGGGTGGATGACTAGTGGACAATGTGGCCGTAAGCTCCCCACACTTGATAGTCATTGTACAGTCAAGGCCAGAGAGAGACAGGCGCTAAAGACCATTGGATACCCCTTCTACCGATTGGCAGGAGGGAAGAAGGGGGCTTGTTAACTGTTTAGGAGGATGTATGTGGGAATTTGCAGCAGCCCCAAGATGCAAGCGAAGAGCAAATTTCCAAAACTCACTCAGTCAATTTTTTCGGCTGTTTTTGAAATGAGACCCAAAGTTCCTCAGTGACCCGAGGTCAGGCTTCCTCCTCATACACTATGTCACAGTACTGGGAACCGAAACTCACTCAGTCCGCATGCAATCCAACGAAGAGCTTTCATAAAATTTCCTGGATTTTCTTGAAGACATATCCTGTGGACTGAGTGAGATTTGGAAATTTTCAACTCGATTCAATGCGATTTATTTTTATATAGCGCCTTTCACAAAAAAGACGCCCCAGGACGCTTTACATGGCTGTGTTGTGATACATTCCAACATCATTAAGACAGAATAACACAAAACAAAAATTTCTCTTGAAATGTGGGCCCAAAAAACAAGGGGGAGGATCTTCAGACACCCAACGCTCCACACAAAAGCAACAACGAAACCGTCCTCAGCTTCTCCAGCGTTGTGGAAGGACTTTTCAGGAACGCGGAGATCAACGCCGCAGCTCTGAGGAGTGCTGCGTAGATTTACCGCGTCTGATGGATCACCAGGACTAATCCCATAAGAGAGATAAGATAAGATTAGTTATACTTTGGTGATCCTAGGGGGAAATTTGTTAAAGAATGGGGGTTTCCATTAAGAAAACCCGCTTGACAAACACCAAAAGATTAAGATCTCTGGAGGATCCTTCTATTCAAAGTGATGGATATACTGAGTGGAACATGGGTGGAGATCATGTTGGCTTTATGAGAGAAACATAATTTTAGAGGCAGAGAAATGTCAATATATATAAAGACTATGGTGATAAGGCTGTATTAGCTAAGCACAAACACGCAGTAGGCACCTGTACCTCTCTCAGGATCTGCTCCCAAAGGAACTGCACAAACAGTAAACAAACATGTATGCTGGATAATAGTCGCAGAGACCTCCATCTGGATAATTCTGACAGTATGAGTAAGTACCGTTGCAGTAACACTGATTTGTTCATGCCGCTGTTGTATGACACTCAGCTGTTGCAGGAGTTTGCTTCACCTGCTGCGATCGGTCCATCAGTTCATTTAGAAAAGAGATTGACAGCGTCTAGAGCCGCGAACTCGGTGCCAATTAGCCCAATTTCCGCATAAAGTTCTGTCTTCTGTTTGCGTGAAACTGTAGCAACATAGCATAATAAAACCTGCACTGGGCACCAGTTTAAAAATAAACTCGTACTTTTATCTAATGCTAGGCCAGAACAGCTCCTTGCTGTTCGTCTTACGTTGTTTTGACTGCTCGTCTTAAAGAAAGACCCTCATTTTGCGGTTTCGCCTCATCTGTTTGATATTAGTGGTAAGAAACACATGGCTATTCAAAGGAAAAAGGCCTCTGTGACATCATAGACCACAGGATGAAGCAAGGATGGTCTACCCAGGCCCGAGGGTTTAAAGTACGTGAGTGGTCTCTCCATTGTTCTATAAAGTATGCGATTGGCCAATGTATCATCCATTAAAATACGAGACTGTTCAGTTCAATGTCGCTTCAATTTTACACAGAATCATTCTACCACTGCTGAAATTATTTTATTACTGCTGTGGTATTGTGGCATCACAGTTTAGTCTAGTCTGGCTGTATTTTTGACGATAATGTTCACAGAAAGTGGAATTAAATTTCTAAGTGTATTAAATGTTTGGTTATTAATTCATATTCTGTTTGTTCGTTAACTGAAAGCCAATAACAATTTCCAGATGACTAAAAGCGATTCTTTATTTTTATTGTTTGTGTTTAATCATGATCTTGTGTTTTAGTGTATGATTCTTATAAGCTTATGAGTAATAATAAGCATAAATAAGTTCTATAACCTTGCAATAATCAGCATAAAAAATGACACTTTTCTGGCTCATTGCCGGTGGAAATTCTCGAATCAGCTCCTCAGGGGGTGATAACTGATTCAATGTTTCCACATCATAAACAGTATATGGGTCTGTTTAGGTTTTTGTTGAACTTAAGGACACATAAAACTGTTTTTCCCCATTTGCGTACTTATAGATATATCTCAGCAACCTTACCATAACAAAACTGAAGAAAGATATCAAGTCATCAGTTAATAAATTTTGCTTAACTTGTGCAAACAGCTATTTGAGGCTAATTAATGAAAGGCTGAGTGGAGCTGAAGACCAAAGTGCCATCTTGCTCATGGGGAGGGGGGGGGGGGGGATTTAACCTGTCCTAACTTGTGAAGAGGAAGTTTATTTCTTGATTTGTTGATTTAACCAAAGCACGACTCAGAAGGAGTGATTAAATTTGTAATAAATAATGCAGTAAGATATCTCTGGCTGAAGGGACGCATGATGACTGCTGAGTGGGGGCCCCAATTTGAAGAGTCTACCTGTTTATCCTGGACCAGGGGCTCGGCGTTCCTATGAAATATGGGGGGGGGGGGGAGTTTAATGCTTATAGACCTTGGCCTTTTTACTCACAACCCAGACAGCACTAGGGGGGTCGACCCGTGGGAGGCCTCTCACTCCTGGTACTGCGTGTTTTGGAAACCCCCCCACCAAGAAAGGGAGAGACAGCCCACCTGAGAACCTCACTACTTATGCATCCAGCATTAGCTGAGCTCCAGATCTGCCACCAAGGGGCAATTCTAGGATTTTTTTCAGGTTGCAGACATAATTCGTACAAAGGGGCCAGTCTTATCATTAGCCAATAAAATGTTTTGAATCAATGAGTGACAGGGGAGGGGACCAATCAGCTTTCAGTGTGAGCCAGTGCTGCTGTAGCCCCGCCCACTTATATGTCCCTGATGGAGTGTGATCATATCAAAAGACTTGTTTTTCCTGCACATAATTTTTGGGCTTTTAGTCAATTTTTCTGTCTCAGATCAGTAAACAAAGTACATCTAACGATGACATAGTTTGTAGGCAATAATATTTTGCTTGCCCATCGATAAAACAGATCATAAAGACATAAACATTGAATATAATGTCCAGCAAAATTTCCCGGTGGTTCAGCATGCTGAACCCCCACCAACAGCTCACTGACCTTTGGACTATTTAACAGAGCTGGCGACGGATTCAAATGTGTAACTGGTTCTGTGAGATGAGTGAGACGTTTGTGTGTCACTCAAAATGTAGAAAAACATCTTAAATAATGTGCCTGATGAAACAATGG